TTTTTAAGTTTTGTTGTTGTTAATTATGTGGGGGGGGGTTAGTGTACTTAAGTTTTTTGTGAATTTTTTTCTTGTAATTTGTAAATAAAATGTATTAAATCATTTTTAAAAATTCCCCACCCCTCACCGCTGAATGTCATTTTAAGATGGCTACCAAATACCAAACATTCCCTCCATCCCTTTTATTCTTGCAGGTTTCTGTGATATAGGTTAAGCTAAGAGATATGGAGACTTTAAAGAGGTTCTTTACTCCGTGACCCATCATGCTAAGCCATGGCTTGTTTTACTGTGGGTTGTGTGACAAATCCAGAATGACATGGTTCACGCATGTTATACAACAAATCTTGGTTAATAAATAATGGCGGTTTCATACATTGTTTTAAATCTAAAACCAGTTATGTCTTACTATTATATGTGAACTCAGGCAGTGAACTGCAGAGTTAAACAGGATCCCCTATTCCAGCACTTTAGCCCAACCTGACGACATGCAAATGTGCTGGATTATAATTTTCATATCCCCAGGCACCACAATGAAAGGTTCTGCTTGATGACAATGTCAGGAGTTATCATCATGACATCTGAAGGGCACAGGGCTGTGGAAGGCTGGTGCAATCACTGTACCATGGGTCTCCCTATAATTTTCCAATATTCCAAAGCTGCTCACTTTCCATTTCACTGGCTTGCAGGCTTATACCGGATCACAATATCTGTCTTGTAATTCCCTTGTTAACCTCTTGCCTTTTTATCATCAGCTTCTCTAATGATTAAGCTTGCTTTTATTGATGAACTAAATGACTCATCTTTAGTCACAGGTTGTTTTATTATGAAATGCGTCAAACACTAAATACTATTCAGTTCCCCAGGCTCCATTCTAGTATCTCTTGAGTAGATATCAAGCACGTTCAATATCCAACTTCTGATGGGCTGCCAATATGGTACAGAGGATAAAATACTGAACTACAAATTGGGGATTCAAATTTAACTAAATCAGTTAAGGTGGTGGACCTGGATTGGGGAGACCAGGTTCAAATCCAGTCTTAGCCATGGAAACTCATTGGATGACTTTGGGCGCTCTCTCTCTTTCACCTAGCCTACTTTGCAGGATTATTGTTGTGAGGATAAAATAAGGGAGACCTTCATGTAAGCCACCTTGTGTTCCTCAAATAAAAAGAGGATATAAATTCTACAAATAAACAGGTACATAAATAAGTGATCTTTGGTTTATAATTCTTAGCCTAAGCTATTTTAGTGATTGTGTAAGGATACTGTTTGGTGGAGAAGAACAAGACATGTTGTCATGAGCTCATGAGAGAGAACAGCAAAAAATTAATACAAATCAGTAATAATAGTGGAACTTTCAAGGGAAAATATCCAATGGAATAGCTTCTCAATGGCCCATAATTCATAAATCTCTAGTTAGTGGCATTGTATTTGTTATGAGAACCAGTGTGCTGTAGGGATTAAGGTGCTGGGGAGTGGGGAGCAGAAGACCCAGGTTCTAGACTACTTATAGGCACAGAAGCCAGTTGGGTGACATGGGCCAGTCACTCGCTCTCAGCCTTAGGCTCTCTGACAAGCCAGCTGGGGAAAAAAAGCCCTCATTGCATCATGCATGTATAGCTTCATGATGTGAATTAAAGACAGCACAGTGCAAAAACAAGCAGGCCTTGCAACTAAGTAGGACTACAACAGTGGCACTGAATATATTATCATCATTACAACTAAGGCAGTCACATCTTTCTGTTAGCAAATTATACTGAATAATTTCTGAGATTTGAACGACTCTGGGAGGTTTACAAAACAATTAAAATCAATTAAAATTACAAAATTACAACAACAAATAGAAAATAAAAAGACCCAAAATAATTGGCAATCACTCAGGGAACATCATTGAGGCGCTAGGCACCCCCAGGATTGGGTGAAGTTGTTATCCCCCCAAGTAAGCTGGCAGAGCCAGGTCTTCAATTCTTTCCAGAAGTCCGGTAGGGAAGGGGCCTGCCACACCTCTGGGGGGAGAATGTTCATGGATCATGTTAGATCAGTGCTTTTAAGCAAACCAACCTGTTCTATACTTTGGATCAGAACAGAGTTATCTTTCATGCTTTGCACTTCTCCAAAGATTGTGATACAAATCTTATCAATCAGGACATACCAAACAAACAAAGAGTAGAAATTAAACTGATCTTCTCATTCTTCAATGGCTCACCTCTCTCAGTTTACCCTAACAGCCACCTTGTAAGGTAGATTGGCCCAAGAGAGATTGTCATTACTCGAGCTATGTCAGGTTTGATTCCAACTTTATTTAGTTGTAGTCTGTATTTGGTCAAAGTTAGATAATAGTTGCAAACTTCTGAGATTTTTAAAACATTTAATCAGGCAGAATAGCACTGTGATGAAAAGTTCTAAGGAACTCCAGTATTTTCAACTATTAAATAATCCTGGTTGATCTCATTGGGATATTATCTCTATGGATTTTTTCTCTCTCTCATGGTCAACATAGCTACCATTGCTTTTCAGAAGCGTAATCTGATTGTCTAGCTCAAGACGCTGCCCTTCAGTGTCTTTGATTACAACTGTCAGCTGGGAATGGGATTGATCATTCTCTATCACTAAAGAACATCAGGTTACACACATACCTAGAAATAGAGAGATGTAAAGAGAGACAACTTACTAGTGCTACTTCCTCCATAGGATCTTTACGTAGAATCTGGATTTGCCAAGTAGAATCAATTTCGTATGGAAGGACTGATCCACCATCATACCATTCCAGAATCACTCTGTCAGCTAAAAAATCTGGAGTCAGTCTATGAATATGAGGCATCTGAGGAACAAGGGCTGGGTGGAAGAGAAAAAGGTAACCAGAATCAGAACTACTGAATGTCAATAGGTGCTCTAAAGAGATGCTCTCTTTCCTAGTGATGCAGTCACTCATCTGCTTTTCTCCTACTGCAGGGAGTTTCTCAAAATCTAGTGAAAATAACTATTCCACCAAACTGTTTCTTTTAGTTTCTCCTGAATGCACCCAGTTCTTTACATATATTGATTCAATACTGATTTCATCAAAGGTGAATTTGTAACATGAAAAGCATGACAAGTAACTGACAACATTGTCATTGATGAGTGTAAAGGACTCAAAACAAAATATTATCTTGCCAGAATCTTATATGAATTTCCATAAGCAGAATAAGCTCACTACTCATAATAAGTAGTACATGAGCAGCAATCATGTATGAGTCTAAAAGGCAATCTATTTTTACAGAGAGAAAATATAGCTACGTATACTGAGAAAAGACTGCCTGCAATATTATTGATGCATTAATATTCCACCTTCTTAAGAGAGAAGGAACCCAGTTTGAACCGATAGATTTATTTATTCAATTTATATAGCCACCCATCTCACAATAGTGACAACATTTAAAAACAATGCAACATAATATAAAACATAAACAGCAGCCGAGGAGCCAAGCAATTCTAGACAAATAACCACACCACATGCTCTAACACTCCATGCTGCTGTATCAACAGACCAAGTTTGGTTTCTGATAGCTTGACTAAGAAAGAATCCAAGATTCTGGAGAGCCAATGGAGTCAGAGTATTGGTTAGATGACCCTTCCCCAATCTGTTGCCCTCCAGAAACGGTGTAGCAATGCTCTCTAGTAGCTCTGGTAGTCATGGTTGCAAAATGTCAGGAAGGCTCCAGAGGTTGAAGGCAGAATGGGGGTGAACAAATTATCTACAAGGCAGCTCCCTCTGGTTCTTATGAGATTATAATGCTGTAGCCTCCGCCCTTTGGAATATCTTGCCCCTGGAGGTGAGATTGCCCCCCTCACTCCTGGCCTTCCAGAGGCATTTGAAGACCTGGCTCTGCCATCTGGCCTGGGGTGGGGAGGGAAGACATCAAGTGTGGGGTTGGCTAGCTCCTTAGAGGCCTGGCGTCTGCTGCTCTGAACCATTGGTCTCTTGGACTCTTTCTTTTCTAGTAATTCTTTTGTACAGGTTTTAGGTTTTATGGAATTGTATATTTATTTATTGTTTTAATGATTTGTGAGCTGCCCAGAGTCCCCCATTAGGGGGAGATGGGCAGGTATAAATTTAATAAATAAATAATTGGAGAAGGCCTTTTTTTTTTTTTTTTACTAGGATGAACAGGGTGAAATTAAACCTTATTAAATGTCATAGGTTTCAACAGAAGAAAGAGTTAAATGTATGTTTTAAAATAATTCATGGGATTCACAAATGACTTTTAGCTTTGGTTAGACTGCACTCAAAGATCATAACTCTAGTCAGGGCTTCACAGTGGACACTTGAATTCAAGAGTTATGCTCTCCTGAAAAAAAATGTACATTGAATCTTACTGTTTTAAACTGCAGGAGAGTTTCATATTCTCACAAAATTGGATGGTTTCCAAAGGCATAAACAGTGACCAGGTTATTATGAAATATTGTGGGAAATTACTGTCTGGCTGAATTCCAAAATAAAACATCATCTCTAATCTATCATCTACCACTGTATTCTTAAAATGGAGAAAACTCCCTTTCCATTTCTAAACAAGAATGACAAGAGGAATTTATACCGAAAACCAAAGCTTCCAAAGCTTGAAAGTAGAGTATGTGTGTTCTGAGAGATGTCAGTACACATGTCCCCATAGAAATCATACAACGTACAATGTAGAAATTATAATAAATAATTTCGTTTATGCATCACCTTAGTTGTCCTGTCTGTATAACATACAGAAAGAACCAGATGACCAGGAATATATTTCTGGTAGAGGTTGTTATTGGACAAAAGAAGTCTCACCTAGTGTCCTGAACCTCTGGAGAAGGCTTTATGCCAGGAGTCAAAACACGTAACACCTAGCATACAGCTGCCCTGATGAGGCAGCGGAGAAAGCATGTGAGATTTCAAGCAAGATCTGGACCCATGGATTAGAAGGGCCTTAACCTCTCTTTCCAACCATTTATCTCCAGATTACTCTAAACCAAAGTTTTAAAAAGTGACTAACTTCACTGGAAATATTTTTCTTTTATTAATGTGCATCAGGAGAAAAGGGAGAGGAAAAATGAGCTGAATTGGTGCAATAGAGGCTGATGAGTTCCCAGTCTAAACCCAATCATCCCAAATTGAACTAGTACAATTTCTCTGTATTTATTAGAACCTTCAGGACAAACTGCACCTTACGGGTTATATAAAACATACTTTGATCTAGAAAAGGAAGTACATGGAGAATTCTGTGTGGTGCTTTATTTCAGACTGCATTAAAATAAGAGCATAAAATTTTTAAGGGAAAACATGTTAAGCCTGAAGCTCACCTGGACTGATTCTTATCATCACTCCAAATACAGCCGCTGAATTCCAAACAATCTAGCCTTGAATAAAGAAAAGGTATACTTACAAACATCTTTCTCAGACAGCAGAAATGTTTTTCTAGCTAGGGTTTTCTCCACTTCTGCAGATGAATTTAAGGTGATTATCTCAATCCGCATATAGTCAAATACAATTAATGCAAATGTTGCCTGTTTTTCCTTAGTAAATGAACATCCTGGATTGGGGAAACTGCAGAAAAAGATAATTCAGCTTAGCCATTGGAGATTGACTGAAAGCAAATCATTTTAAATTATGAGAGAACGGCAATCCCAAAGGACAGAGGAGTTCACAATATCTTGGTATTGTATATTGAAATTTCCATGTCAGGTCAAATTAACTAAATAATTTAATTTAGCAGTATATTCTAAAACCATGGGCTAAAAAGCACTGAAAAGGCTCTCCAGAGAACACAGGGCATTTTATTTTTTTGTTTTGGTGCTCCTCATATGCATGTATGACAAGAAGGCCAAAGTTACAAAACATATATTTTATACATGCAACAGACTCACTGGTTATTAAATGCATCAAGTATTTGCAAGGTGTATTTAACAAAGTAATAACAACGTGGAGTAGAAATGGACTGAAATGGGTGGAAAAAATGAAAAACTGAGCAAAACTACAACTTCATCCCTAAACATAAATATCTGGATCCATTTCTATGATACTCTGCAATTTTTTAAAAAAGTTGAGTTAAAAAGTCTATTTCTTTCTGGGTATATTTTTCAAAAATACATATTTTATACATATTTTCCTGAAGATCCATATTTCTGATGCATTTTCACCTTATGTATATTTTCTTGAGCACCTTTGTATCCTAAATTCTAGAAATGTTAGCATTTATATATCAGCCCATGTACAGATTGAGAAAGTACAAACTGAAGGAACTTACTTCAAAAACAAGAACCCAATAAGATTTCCCCCCGCCATTCCTATCAAGGTGGTTTATGATATAACTCTCAAAATAAAACTGTACCACCATTAAGTATGGTACCAAAAATAGAAGAAATATGGTCTCTGAAGTATAAAGGTATTTCATACAACATTTCTTTTTCTAAATCTGCTTTTGCCTGCTGAAGCAAAGTAATGGAAAACAGCAATTGGAATTCTGGACAAAAATATCATTAATAAAAAAAACAGCGTGAATGAGTTACTTCATTTTTTCCTCCTACTTAGAAGAAAATGGGACACACCCAATCTTGATTAAAATTCTAATAATTTGCATAAGAAAAAACCCACAATCGAAACAAAGGCAGACAAAGTGACTTATGATTCACGCTATTTGTGAAAGATAACATGTCATCTTACCCCTAATCTGCCACATTAGAAGCAAGTTTTCCCACCACTGACAACTGCTTGGCTACAGCACCAAAGGACTAGCAGTGGTTTAATGTCAAGTAACAGACAATCAAGTATTTGGGAAATTGGCAGGAAAAAAACGTTTGGGCAAAGTTTGACAAACATAGGCTAGCCTTGGTTTTATATACTATTTAGTGGCCACGATAACACTTCGTCACCACTTCATCTGACCAGAGATTTATAATCAAACTTTCCAGGTACCAAATCCCGTAATTAAAAAAATATAACAATGCTAATTGCGTGGCAACTTCCTGTTACTTAAGGAATCTTTCACAGAACAAAATGTTTTACATATTATTTCAAATGCCCTGTGACAGAAATATTCAGACTTAGTGCTGTCTTTTGGAACACTCTCAAATGCTTTAGCCTGACAATATGTATCATGCGGTTCTTGGAAAAATCAGAACACCATTTACTTTTGAATCCTCATTCTTTGTGGTTGACACAAAGATCTTGTTATCTTTTTAAAGAAGTCCTGGTATGGACATTTTTTTTTTAAAATGATGGTTTCTTTAGATCCCAAAAATTATTATCAATATTATTATATTATGAACTCCTTTGTATTTCTTGACAAGAGACAATAGATAAGATGGTAAGCCAATTCCTTATGCTTTTTAATAGTTTCATGAAACTCCCAAGGATTTGCTGTCTAATTTCTAGCATACTATTCTTCCCATTCATCCCTCCATATCATTCCTGTTTTTCCCCTCAAAATCCTTATTTAAAAACACAGAAATCCTGAACTGTGAGTTGTTTGTGCCTGAGTGAAGGCTGGTACAATAAAGTTAAAAAAAAGACAAATATGAAACTGATTTATTCTTAAAATGGCGAGCAAGCAATGTACCAAATTGTACTCCTTTTGCTGTAGAACCATCTCTTTAAGGGCCTCAGCAAGTTAGCATTTGTTCTAAATTTCCAGATGACACTATTTCCAGCTTTATCTAGTATATTTTCTACCCCATCTTACTTCATTTTTTCCTCCTACTTAGAAGAAAATGGGACACACCCAATCTTGATTAAAATTCTAATAATTTGCATAAGAAAAAACCCACAATCGAAACAAAAGCAGACAAAGTGACTTATGATTCATGCCATTTGTGAAAGATAACATGTCATCTTACCTCTAATCTGCCACATTAGAAGCAAGTTTTCCCACTGCTGACAACTGCTTGGCTACAGCACCAAAAGACTAGCAGTGGTTTAATGCCAAGTAATAGACAATCAAGTATTTGGGAAATTGGCAGGAAAAAAAAGTTTGGGCAAAGTTTGACAAACAGGCTAGCCTTGGTTTTATATCCTATTTAGTGGCCATGATAACACAAATTTCCAAATGACACTATTTCCAGCTTTATCTAATGTATTTTCTATACCATCTTCCCAAAAATTGAAGCTGTCCAGTTGTGTTGGACCAATCTCATCTTTCAGAATGACAGTATCTGAAGTCCAACATATCTGGAGCACACCAGAGTGTGGGAAGCTTAGTTAAATCTTCTCCTTGATTCCTGAACACTTCCTTCAATAAACCATGAGTTAGTAACTTCTGGATTAGCTAAACGTATTAGAACTATACTGCAGAATTGTCCTTGAAGATAGTTCAGTTCTGAAATGAAGCAACTAAAATTTAACTAAAACAAAATTGCAAGAATCCCTTGTTTGTTTTCTGACTCAGTTCAAAACACTGCTTCCAACTTTAAAGACCCATACAACCTGGAGCTGTGGCTCAGATATGTAAAGAACTTCTCCATTTGTATAACACTGCTTATATAATAAGGTTCTCTGAAGAGGAGGTCTTGCAAAAGTTTCTGCCAATGCATGTAAAAAAGATGGCTGCATAATTCTAAAGATTTCTCAGAGGTGGTAGCAGTTCCCTTGAACCCCTTGCCTAAAAAGATTTCCTCACTTGCAGATGCCACTGTCTGAATGTAATGCTCACTCATCTATCTATCTATCTATCTATCTATCTATCTATCTATCTATCTATCTATCTATCTATCTATCAGATTGGGTAATTTTATACATTTCATTTAAATAGGAAAGCAATGTTGGTCCTGTCTATTCTAATGCCAGCACAGTATCACCACCACACTTAACCCCAGGAGCTCTCAGCGACTGAAAATAAGCCAGTGTGGTCCCAGCCCTGTTCTGCAAGGAAAAGCATACAAATTAATAAATTAATCAATGGACTGATTAATTCTAGATTTTAAGTTTAAATGAATGAAAGCCAAACAGAAACACATTGATGGTTTGGATCAAATAGGCCTGATGCAAAACAAACCATGACAGACATGGGGCAGTAGGAATAATACTTCCTTCATACTTTGCATTCAAATGCACCAAGTGCTTTGCAGTTGTAAGATTAACAATAAACCCATGATGTTGGCCCACAGTATTATTCTCCCACACTGTGAGAGGAAAGGAGCTAAAGACAGGAAGAGCTGGGAAAGTTAGGGAAAGTAATAGGAAGTGGGTAACACGACAGAGTGAAGACAACGTGCCAGTATTGTTGCGAATGAAAATACCAGTGGTGATACTGTGTGAAGGATGTTGTCCTCTCCATTTCACCATCACACCTGGGACACACTGGCAGTGACTGTCGGCAGAGGCCAAACATGAATGAGTTGAGTTTATTTAGTAGTTTTATGACAAGGTAAGCTTCTAGTCCTATAGACTCCATTGGTGCTCTGCCTCTAAAGCCACTCTTTTAAACCAACTCCAGATACAAACGTAGTACATCACAGTGTAAATTCCCGGGAAACACTTTGTAAAAGCTGTCAGTATTGTTACCTGGCATTGTAACAGAATTGATAAATAAGTTCAGAATCATCTCCAGCAGCCGTAGTCCAAGTGCAATCAACTTTATCAAGATTGTGTGTTATACATGTCAAGTTCTTAGCTGAGTATGAAGAATCTAGAACCACAATAAAAATGTTAATGAGCATACACTTCATAAATCTGTGCTCCAAAAACTATGAACATTCAAAAGGTAGCAAAGAATATATGTGGTATATGAGCCTGAAGGACACTCTGGTAGACGATAAAAAAATCATCTTGCTGTAGCAAAAGCCACAAACCACCAAACCATAAACCACAAAAACTCACACAAAAATTTTAAAAAACAGGAGGTATTTTATAATCAACTGTATGTGAATTCTCTGATGGTCAGAAAGTCCAGCACATTTCATTTTAATAAAGACAAGTAGAAAGGCAGTTAAGACCTGCCTTTGGCTCTAGATGAGTGGAGTCTCAATTATTAGTTGCAATACATTTTCATCCAGTACCATGTTATGGTTTTAGCTGATTTTTAAAGCATTGTGTTTCTTTTCATTTGGGGGAGGGAAGATTTGTATTTGTAGTTGACTTTTGTATGCCGCCGAGTCAATTTGTTGAGTTGGGTGGCCATATAAATCTTACAAATCTATTAAATAGTTAAACATTTCTGCATCTTTACAAAGGTAGTCCCTTGCTAGAACTAGACAGTTCCCTACTTCCAGCCTTCAAAGAGCTCCACTGAGAAGGTGTGTTGGTTGGAAAATAGGTCTGTGATTCATCTGGAAATTCTTCACCTGGGTCCACTCAGCAGGAAACCAAATGATACATGGAAGACCTCAGTGTTCCAAATCAGTTTTAAATCTGTACTCTCCAATCTAGGTACTGTCTAGTTGGTGAACTTAATTTCTCATAATTCCAAGCTAGCATGGAAGGCTGCTTTTAAAAAATTATGGGTCTTTGGTAAGTGGTAGTTGAGGTTTTCATTGTGTCCATGCACTTTTCAGCCACTAAAATTGGTACTTGTTTCTGATATCAATCACTGAAGGTTCCTGTAAGGTTAGCAAGTTAGAGCAGTGCCATGATGGTTGAGTTTACAGGAGATAATATGCCACGGTTCCACAGCTTGTAACTCAGGTTACAGTTGGAAGTTCAACAAACATGTAAGAAAACCAAAGCACAGAGTACCCAGTTAGTAGTAACAGGCAATAGCAAACCACTTCCATATTGGTGCCAAGAAAGCTACATAGATATTCCACAAAATAACTGGAACTCAAGCTCAACTCAAAGGAGACTTTCCTTTTAAAATCTAGAATAGGAGGAGATAATGTGGTATGCATGGGCCCCTGTGTGACAGCTGATGATTTCTTTGGAAATCACTGTGCTCCCTCCCCCCTCTAACTATTTTTAAAAACTTGGGGAAAGAAAACCCCAAATTGGAAACTAGTACAAAACAACTAGGCTAAGAAAAGATGTATTCAAGCTATTGAGGCAGGAAATTCACTTGGGAGAGGGGTGTGGACTTCTCTTCCAGTTCCAGGAATGAGCCAAAAATAATATTTTTCCTTCACAATTCTTAGAGTTAAGCCTGAGCAAAAATCAATGTAATTGATCAACTGTCCACAATTTGGCATTTCACTGAGTAAAGTTTGCTTTTAAATCAAACAAGAGTCTTGATTTTAATGTACCAACAGGTCATTAGCCATTTCAGACCTCTTCTCCCATGAAAATTACATATGAAGGTTGGAAGAATATTGCAAAAACATACATGTTTTGTGTATCTCAAGGTACAGTAAAACTGGCTTGCTAGCTGCTGAGTTAAAACTTGGCCTTTCATCCAGATGCAGTTAGGTTCCAAGACCCACAAGCCCCAGCAAATGTGGACATAAGTCAAGAATGCTTAGCAGCCAGAGGTGTTTCCCTACCCCTGTTCTAAAGGAGGTCACAAGGCACCAAAAGACCACCTTTTGTATCTCAGCATCCACTAATCAGGTTCTGGGCTATATGTTAGCATGCAAAGCATGGATGAAGGGAGCTTCCTAACGTTATTGCCTGAGGGCTATAGCCAACACAAAGTATTTCATTCTGTAGGTAAGCATTGCCCTCTGGAATGTAGAGGAACATGCAAATGTCAAACAAAGCAGAGAGAGCCAGAAAAGCTATTACATTTGTTTTTTTAGAGAAAAGAAAAAAAGAATGTTTCTCTCCAAGAAAACAGCCAATCCCACTCCTAATTTATTACAGTGATAAACAATCAGTACTAAAAGCAAAGTTCAGGACAAGAATTCAGTTATGACTTCTTCTCAAGTATTCTCTTAACTTTGTTTCAGCCAACTCTGACTTAGCACACTCTGTAAACTCAATCATTATCACATTCCTGATGCAGAATATCTGAATTTTAGATTTAAGAGCAAAGAAGTGAAGCAAATATCACCACTTACTCTGGGTATCTACTTGTTTGATCCAATGAGACAGAGAATGATTCCATTCTGACTTCAGCAATTTGCCTTGTGCTGAACTATGATTATTGTGGCTATAACACCATGGTAAGAGTGCCCACAATATGCTCTCTAATTCTCAAGTGTGTTTAAAATCCCCCAAAGGCTGTTTATTCCTGCAGCAGCTGTAGACAAGGCCACAGCTTATACAAGATTTGGCTAAATGCAACAAGAAGTGCTATAAACAAAACAGAAGGAAAAGCTTTGAAATACCTCACTGTGACTGTGGGAAAGGAGGGGAAGATTAGTTTGCAAGTCAAAGGCTCATATAGAGTAATTCTCTTAACAGTGAACTGGACCTCCCCAATTCAGGTATGTTGGACTTTGAGTCTCAGAATGCGTAAACGGTATGGCCAATATCTAGGGATTCTGGGAGTTAAGCTCCAATTTCTAGAAGGTGCTAGGAAGGCCACAGTAAAACATGGTTAGTATTGTACGTGAACTCAACCTAGGTAAAACAGGAAATTGTATTCATTGACTAAAATGATCATGGCCCAAACTTCTCAAAAGAGAGTCTGTACAAGGAGTTGCTGTTTTTAGCCAAATGTTCCCTATTATGAACTGGAAACAGACTTCCCCCAAATTGTGGGTTTTATCTCAGTTGTCAAGAGATTCTTCTGAGTTCAAAAGGAAGCTATTAAAGTGTTTTCTCTAATTTATGCCTGACCGCATCACTAGATCTTTAAAATAATATGGGGCACCACAATGAGTCACTGGCAATTATAGTATGTAGCTTCCGCACAATGACTTTGATACAGACAACACATCCTGGTTGAACTTTCAGCAGAGAGACCTGATGGATTCATGATGTGCCAGGCTGATCTGCATCTGCTCCTGGAATTCAGATGTTCCTTGTGCAGAAAGGACCAGATATGCTGACAGCGCACAGCTGTAAACATGTGTTCAGAACATCCTCATAAAACATATCTTTGCATAAACAGATGCACGCATGCGTTAAGTCACATCAAACTGCTTCAGGAAGCAGATTGAAGGTATGGTACTCTAAAAAAAGGAATATAGTGGAATTTTGTTGGCTGTGATGAGTATAACACTGAAACCAGCAGCTATGGCCTATACAAGAAATCATGAATTAAAAAAACCCAACACTTAATGTGATGTGCGAATACCTGCCATAATTCCTTTTCTAGTTTACTTCAAAAATATTTGTATAATTTTCTGGTTTTGGAACTTGCCAACCTCTGCGTGCCTTATGTTACATCTCTGCTTTTCCACATGTTAAGGACACGCAAGAGAGTTTGCAAAGAAAATTTAAATAGACCATGATTAAAGTAGGCCAAACGCATCTCCTAGCTATCAAAATAAAGCAAATGAAAAATTTACAGTACAGTAGTTGCCATGTAGTCTTTTTGCTTCACAAGAATGTGCAATTTCCATCAGTTTGAGAGGTAGACCAGATGTTGCAGCATAGCATAGCATTTTTTAAGAACAAGAACATTAAATGCTCAAATCACATGCCAACAGTCATATCCCCTGCCCCCCAGGCTGGCTGGGGAATTCTGGGAGTTGAAGTCCACCCGTCTTAAAGTTGCCAAAGTTGAGGACCCCTGCCATAGACAGTATAATATTATGCTGCATGTGATATGGGAAAATATGTCCTGAAAGAACTATCCAAAGGAACCCATATGAAAAAGTAATCAGGCTTGAAAATCTGCATTTTCAAATAAATGGGCAAAATAACACGTTCCACATCAGTTTTCCACAACTTAGATGCCATCCAGGTATGTCCTCTTAAGTTCTTGGAATTCATCAGCCAATAAGGCCACTGCTGGGAATTCTGGGAGTTGAAGTCTACACATCTGGAAGGAATCCAGGGCAAGGAAGGCTGTTTTATGTTCACAGAAACACATGTGGGGGGTAGGGATGGGTTTTTTTTTTTTAACAATCATAAGGGCTGTGCTGCCCAGCCTCTTTCAAATTCATAATAGTAAAAGTATACCAAAAGACCACTGCTGGAATTCCCTCGAAATTTCAAATACTTTTTAAGAACTCCTGCAGGGTAACTGCAGAATACAGCCAGCCCCCTCAACATCACAATCAGATGGATAATATGTTCCATTTCTATATGGTTCAAAATAGTTTATAGCACAAAATCATATTTCTTCAGGTAAATATTTAATGCCTAATATATGCATTAAGCAATGTGCTGCAATACAAGAGTGGAAAATTTATGGTTCTCCAGATGTTGCTGGATTACAATTACCAGCATCTTCAGTCATTGATAAAAGATACTGAGATTTGTAGGCCACACATTCCCCACTTGAGAGAGAGAATTTGCTGGGAAGTCACCACAGACAGCAGGCAGATAGCAAAGAGGTATCAAATCACACCAACCTTTTTCTTGGCTGTAGACAAACTGGTTCAGAATACATAAATGTGCTACCATCAACAGGCAGCACGGAATTAGGTTAATCCACATTCTTTTGCAATTCACCATGGAAAACAGGTCACTTCAAGCGGTCATCGTCCTTCACGCAGGCAAGTTCTAATAGTAAAAAGAAACATTTAAATAACATTATTGGTTTATCTTCTCAGTAAGATACAATACTGGAATACCTGGGCATTTACAGAGAGTGGAAAGTGTCAGACATGATATATTGCACTGCTCAATTTCATTAACCTTAGTTGTAAACCGAAGCAACTTTGGTAAAGTCTGCTCCTTACTGTCACCCCAGAAGAAATGTATCCCTTCAAATATGTGTTTATATAGCAGATGCACAGAAAATTAGTATTAAAATGATACAGGGTGATGATGTACCTAATTCACCTGAAAAATACCAATAGCTAATAACTTTGTAAAGTGGAAGGGAGGGAAGGATAGAGGAATGTGTTACAGATAGTCCTCATTTAATGCCCATTTGTTCAGCGACTGTTGAACATTACAACGGTGCTGAACAAGGGGTACTTACAATGGGTCCTCGCAGTTGCAACTGTCACACTGTCCCCACGGTCACGATTGCGATTTGGACACTTAGCAATGGGCTCGCAATTACAAAGTCACAGCATCCCGTGGTCACGTGATTGCCATTTGTGACCTTCACTGCCGGCTTCCGACAAGCAAAGTCAATGGGGAAGATGGCAGGAGGTTGAAAATGGTGATCATGTGACTGTGGGACACTGCAACCCTGCGGGACTCACCTAACAGCAGCAACTGAGACTGCCAGAACTACCATTGTAAGTTGGAGCAGTCACGTGATGTCACGCCTTAGAACCATGTCACTTAGCAATGGAGCTCCTAGTCCCAACTACCATCTATAAGTGAGGACTAACTTTATAGAGCACTGGGAGAGATTTGGACCAGGAACATTGCTGGAGGAAAGGTACCCTGGTCCTTCCCCCAGTCCAGAATTACTGAATCAGTCGAAATTCCCTCCTGTGTTCTCAGTAGTAACTATTTATCTTTAATTCTTCCAGGAGACTGAATTAAGGATATCCCACCCAAGACATTTTGAATGCCACTGGTATCTTCAAGGCTACTAACACCAAAACAAGTGCACTATAGCAAGCTCTTTTGGCCATCAACGTTTCTTTGTAGCCTCAAGTCAGTCTTTGGCTTTTGAAAAACAGAGGAGCAGAGAAAAACACACTATGTTTAGCAGCCATAGTTTTGTAAGATTGCATTATGTGCAACACATCCCATTTGACTGAGTTCTTTTAACTCAGGGTTCCCCAAAGTGGTCAACATTGACCCCCATAGTCGAGGGGTCAAGGGGTTGATATTATTTGTAGTACTATTAGTTAAAGTAGTATTATTTTCATATAATAAATGTTTGGGGGTTGATGAACGATCTTGAAGCTTCATGAAGGGGTCAATGAGCTGAAGAGTTGGGGACTCCTGTTTTGACTGAATGTTCTCTGCTGCCCTTCTTCCTTTTTCATAATACATAATGCAATTTTTTTTTCACTGAAGTGCTGTGAACCATCTTCTTGTAAACCAAATGCATCATACATACATGCACACACACACACACACCCCAGAGGACTGCAGAACAGACATACAGGATACAAGGATTTATTTATCTAACTGTATTGCAAGCGACTTCTGTCAAATTTAAAGATTTCACCCTTTCCTATATTTGGCCTATATCACTTATAAGAAATTGATGTTCACTTGGAATTAATAGTTCCATTGCTTTTACTATAGAAGCTGAGCAGGATAAATGCTGGATATCAGCAGAATTCTAACTGCAACTGCTGTATGTTACTGGAAAACTGGGCTACCATTTCAATGGCATCAAACCCACAACTTTGTGTGTAAAACTGAACCACATTTTAGTCTCCCCTTAATCCTGACATACATCAGTGGCCTTGAAGTCCCTGCAGCATCTTCTCTACCACACCCAAAGTATGGCAAGATAGCATCACAAAAACCTGGCAGCAAACTAACCAACTTTTACAGGGGCAAATTTTGCTCAATTTGAGGGTTTGAGAATTGTTAAGGATGGAATGGAAACAGAAGGCTATTACAAAGCAAAATGTTGCCATCCCTCCCCTTAACCACCTTAACCCTCAAAAAACAAGCAAAAAATAGGCCAGATGATATCACTGGCAGATTGGAAAGCTAGACTGTGGCTCTGACCCAAAATAAATTAGATGCTTCTGCCTTATATCAAAAGGGACTGCTTTCAATTAACAGGGAAAATGTCTATTTAAAAAGAAAAATTGTGTTCATCGTTGGGATGCAACATTCTGGCACTTAGCTAGCCAAGACGTATGGGCAAATACCCGTCTTTCCACTGCTCTACATATTCCCTGACTTCTCAAGCCTAAATTTTTATTGTAAACCACCCAAAGTCACTTCCTCGTGAGATGGGCAGTGTCTAAATTTGAAATATAAATAAATAAAAATTAATTAATGAAATCCCAATCATCTTCTGTTCCTGGGGCTTTTTCTCTGCCATGGCACCTGCTTGTGGGATCTTCTCCCCCGGGAAGTGAGGTTAGCTCCGTCCCTCTCAACGTTCTGCAAGTCCCTCAAGACCTGGCTATGGGATCAGGCCTGGGGCTCCCAGGGGACCGGGGAGATTTTGCAATGGCTCCCTTATTAACATTATCTCCTCCTGTTCTGTGTGCTCTTACAGTTATTTTTACTTATATTTTTATGTATTTATTCTTTTTCATTGTTGTACGCCACCCAGAGTCACTTTTATGTGAGATGGGTGGCTATATAAATATGATAAATAAATAAAAAGCCAGGAAGGCTGAAGAGTGATGCAGAAATACGCAAGTTAATTACAGCAGCAGTATTGAAATCACAAAGAACAGGTAAGGTCAAAATACCGGGGGGGGGGATTCTAAAGCAATTTGAGCATGAATAGAAAAAACAGATCTCTTTTCCTTTGGAAAAAATGCTGTAGGAAATTTGGAGGACAAATTTTAGCAAAGTATGAGTTACAGGGGAGGGAGGCGATGCAAAACAGGCAAGAGGGCCTTGTGGGGGGGGAAAAGATAGTACAGTAAGGCCTTTCGGTAGTAGCTTTAAATTCAACAAGTTTCTCAAGCTCAACAAGAAATACTTTTCTCAGACACTTAGGAATGGCAGTACGTGATGCGTGTAAAAAAAGGAGCAGGGCTCCAATCACATAGTTGTGGCTGCCATCTTGACTTTTTTGACTCCCTCCCTGATATCCATGGACAAGGTACATTTTGACTTTCTTTGACCTGCCCTGCCCCCTGTGGACACCCCTGAGCATCACGAAACATTAAAGGTTAGTCAAAGTTTTTAAAAGACGGCACCTATTTTTTTTTTTAGGCATGGGTTTTTCCAGCATTCTTTACAGACTAGGCTTTTGGCTGCAGGCTCGGCTTTTTAAGGTTGAAATGTATACTTTTCATCAGAAGGCAAAGAGGCAACATGAGTCGTGTGGGTGTTTTGTAAGTTATGTCATGTCTTTAGCTCCTGGAGAAAAAAAAAAAGTACAGTTCAAGTCCTTTATCTCACTTCTCCATGACTAACACCATCGAGCTACAATACATGATCTTTCAAGCCACGTATTTTATGACTTGCTGAAAAGCAGAAAGAGAAATGAGGCCGGGGAAACTTCTAATATTTAGGTTTGATCTCAGCGTAGCATGTTGGAACAAGCTCTCGGCTCAGTTAGGAACAAGTTGCTCAAATTAGATTCTGGGTGACTCTTTTTTTTTTAAAAGGAGTATTTATAATGCTCAATATTTACACAAGCCAAGTTCTGGTTCACTATGACTTCATTAAATCCACTTTTGGCCACAGATCAGTTACACTGCAAATATGGAATTCATTTTAAACAGAGCAAGCAGCGCTAGCCAGCTGTACACACTCAGGTACGGGGCACAGTGGGCCCAAACGGGTGGCAACTGTTTCATCCCCAATGAAATTTAGAAATGTGACTAGTAATTTGAAGGTCCTGGGAAAATTGGGGAAAATATGCCCCCCCCTCCAAATAATTATTTTTCCATTATATAAAGCAATGTTTCTCAACCTTGGCAACTTTAAGATGACTGGACTTCAACTCCCAGAATTCCCCAGCCA